AACATGTAAATTAATAATAGCGGGTTCAGCCCTACTCTCAGAGGCTTATCGGTATTGGTGGGTTCCAAGCTTAGGTCTGTAAGGGGTCAGAGGGACTGGCCTATGGTCCTATGCAGAACTGGAAGGCGTGGGGAACTCACAAGTCCTTAGGCCAAGCTTCTGTCACAGCATGGAGACTTCTCAGTACAGTACGGAGTGGAAAAACTTGAAACGAGAAGCCAGCCTAGCTGTCACCACTGGGGGCCACTGCTACTTAGCAAGAGAGAAGCAAAGAGAAGTTGCTGCAAGGCCTGGAGTCTGCACTGACTGGAGATAGCTCTTGGAAAGGAGCAAGAAACTGCCCGTGTGGAGTCATGTTCTGTGATGGGAATAGCCAGCAGAGACATGCAGAGGGAACTGAAATCTCCTTACAATGAACATGTGAATGAGATGCTAAGACTTTTGCTGAATGTCACCATGAGTGATGGCAAAACTGCCAAGAGGCATTCTTTACAACAGTACTCCCAGTCTGTGCTGCCCCACATACCTGTGGGAAGTGGCTTGCATACCAGTAACAATTGGGACCCCTAGCTAATCAAACCTGGTCAAAAGTGGGCCATCACAACTGCTGTCTTCATTGACCAGGAGTGACTTTTCTTGCTAAGATGGAGAAGAGGCCATATGGAATAGGCACAAGTCTGGTAGCAGAGACTTTTTGGGCTTTTGGAGAGCAAGACAAATGGGAAGATAGTAAGATAGGCAGAGGAATTATGTCTGAGATATTTTTTGAGCTTTCTGTGTCAGCACATACTGCTGGAATACAGAGTTATTAATCATGTACTAGATACAATAATCATTTTTTTTTCCCTAATGAGTAAGAAACCTCAAGTGAAAATCTTTCTCACTCCAGACATCCATATCTATGATATTGTTTTACATACAAATTGACCCTTCTGGATATCTTCTGTACAAAACATATTCAGCCTTAAATGGAAACCAAGGCCTGACTTTTCCTATATCTTACGCATAAGATGATGGCATAACTCAGAGACTTCAAATGGGCTAGGGTTGATATAATTTACAGGTGACAAGGAACTCGCACCTCGCAACCATTTGCACTCTCATGCAATATAAATGTTTTGAAGAGGAGCAGTTACACGTTACATGCAGCAACATTTGTCCCTTAGCTCTGCAAGATTTGACAGCAACAGGTATTTTCAGTCTGAACTGCTGTGCCATGCAGCAATGACATCTAAGGGCCAGCCTAACTGAAAGTAATCCTTTTGAAAAATAAGCATACAGAGAGGTGAGAGATCAGAACACGTCAAAGATGGGTTTCTCCCCCCAGAACTAGTGTGCAAGGTGGTGTAATTGTTGGTAAGAATTGTTGAATGCTGATCCCCTACCAAACACTTTAACTACATCTCTGTCAGTAAAAAAGCATTGTACCACAATTGGCCCATATCAACCCAAACCTCTTCAGGCCAGGCTGCAGAAGCCCACTGAAGACAAATGATAAGAAAAGCAGGTGTGGGTCACTGAAGGCCCCATCCCCCAGGAGAGCTCTGGCACTGGTATTGCTATTGTACAGTGTTAATTAGATCACTTTAATTAATTCATTCAGAGCCTAAATTAGGAAGGAATGAAGATAAATTGCACTAATACATTTAACCCCATGCTGTTTATTTAGCAGTTGAACAAAATAATGTGGTTAAAAAGAGTCTAACAAGGAAAAAGCCCAAGACACAGCTGTTTAATAGCATTAAAAATGAGATCTCAGCCTGTGCTGCGGGCACATACTGCTTGTTTGCATTTAAAAGGGTTGCCAAGATAGCTATACTGGCAAACCCTGCTTGTGTAGATGCAGCTGATACTAACAAAACAAAAAGTGTATTTTCATCTCCTGAATGAAATAACCTGCACCGGTAAATGGATTATTTTGCTGGTAGAGCTCTGCCAGCATTAGAACTCTTGCTGGCATTGCAAGGGTAGTCTGGAAAATGTTTAGCTGCATGGGTATGCCTGCAAAACATTTAAGTGTCAATAAAGCCGTATTATAAAGTTTGCTATACATTCAAGGATCCAAGAACTTGTTTCAACACAGAAGCCAAACCAATTTAAATTAAGTGCGAGGTGAAACTCAGTTAAAACAGCAGTGCTCTCCTGCACAGCAAGCTGGATTTGAGTTGAACAAAGGAGTTCTTGCTACCGCATTTTTTTCAGAGTCCAGTGTGGCACTTACAATTCCAGGGATGAAAACTGAAAATATCTGAGTTGTTTTTTGTTTTTTTTTTTTTTTAATATGCTTTCTGTTCTTGAAGGCCACATTCCATTCCACAGTCATTCTTTCAGACTTCTTCTGAAAAAACAAACCAAACCAAAAACCCAAAATAAAAAACAACCCAAACATTATCAATTTCACACGACTCTAGAAGCTGGAGCTTTGAGAAAAGGGCCAATTATCTTGTGATTTGTGATAAAATCATGATATTTAGCAACACTTCAAAGATCCTATCTACCCCAGCATATGAATACTAGCAGAAACATGTTCAAACTAGTTCAGTGGGCATGTTAAACTATGTCCTGGGATAGGCTAGGCCAGCTTTGTTTTCAGCAGTGTCAAAATACAGATTGGCCCATCTACAAAACTGGCTTAACCGGCACTGTGTTTAAATGTGACCTGACTTAATTCTTAGACCAACATAAACCAAGCCAAAGATTTGCTTTGGACCAGGTTAATTTCTTAAGTGTTTTTTCCCCATGCTAGCCACGCACTCTTAATCTAAATGTGTTATAAGATGTACTCAGCCAGGGCTACCTAGTTTTAACTCCTGTGCAGAAAGGGGCAGAGGCCCTCTGGATGCTCTTTGACACCTGAGCACAAATAGGAGCTCCCGTGAGCATGTTCAAGAGAACTGATGTTGTGATTTGTAAGCTTTGCAGGTGTGGAATTATAGGCAGAAGATTATGGAGTTACTTTTTCGTTCTTCTCTGTTCCTACCAGCAGCACTGTTTTACACAGTGCGTATATGCTAAGCTACATGCACACAGAAAGGGCTATCTGGCTGTGTATTTGTTTCTCCAGCAGATGATGTATAGCTTCATCCAATCATTCTGCCCTGATTAACTTCAACAGGTTCCTTGTTTTATAGTAGACAAGGAAGACCAGTACTTCATCTGGTCACTCTCTTACATGATTATTGCATCATTCTGTTCATGCATAGTATCATCCAAATTATGTGCTGTGGGCACACAGATTTGCGGGCAGCTGTGTAAACCTCCGACTGTAGAGACTGCCTATTCCTCATAGCTATGCTCAAAATCAGTTCTACAGTTCAGGTGTTGCTGAGTGATTAGGAAACATTATTCTACCATTTCCATTTTTTCACTCATGGTGATAATTCTGCCTGTTTGAAATTTGTCCTCACACTGTACGAAGTAATGCATCCCTGTGTTTTTAATTGCATAGGATGGTACAATCTGACACCAGCCGATGGAATATTCACCAAAATGGAATTAGCCCTAAGGGGACAGGATTGGGGTGGAATTGCTGCAGGTTTTGTTGGGGGAAAATAGGAGAAAATAAATCTAGGCATTTTGTGAGAAACGTTATGATGAAAGGAAAAAACCACTCATAACATGTGCAATCCTACTTGCAACAAAAGCCGAACACTAACAGTCTGATCCAAAATCCTCTAGAGATACACGACTCAAGTGAGCACTGGTGTCCATGAATACCTCTTGCGTAAGGTCGTTTACAATTTCCAACAGCTTCTCACACCTAAACAGCTTTGAAACATACTTTATTACATACAGATGTGCAGCATTTTTAGCACTTGTTATCTGCAATACTTCATGTCATAATCAAACCATAATGTAAAAAGAAATAATCTATGAAATAAATTTCTCTTTCATCTGTTCCAGGTTCACTCAAGCTCTCAAGGCTCTCTGGAATTTCAGATGTGTCCTGCTGTACACTCTGTGTGCGCTCGTCTGCAGAGCCTGCAGTCCAGCAACAGGCATACAAATAACACTCTGAATGTTAGTGGATTGTTTGCGGGGCTTTTTTTAAGAGGAGAAATTTAGGTGACAGTTCATTATGAGGAATGGACGAATTCTCCAAACTACTGTAAGCAACCAGGAGTTTCCTGATGGTGGGAGTAAAATAATTGTAATTATCTTCCTTGAATCCTACTTAAGACTAATACCATTGCTTTCAATGGTATTAGCAAATAGTAAATCAGCAACATGAACAGTATTTACTATGGTATCTTGTGTTTTTCTTGTGCAGAACTTCACAGTACCATTATGTAAACACTGCTGCTACATCTAGACGTTTATTTTTGAAATCGGCCTTTTGCACAAGTGCGTTTTTCTCATACTCTTCTAATTGGGAAATAATTAAGGCCAGGCCTCGCGTGCGCTGCTATGAAGCTGTGAAAGCGTCGCGGGAGCGCAATGGAAGCGAGCTGCTGTGCGGCTCCGCGGCCGCGTGGAGGAGCCGCGCCCGGCCCCCCGCGATGCCCGGGCCTCCCCCGCGGCGCTGCGGAGGGGCTGCCGCAGGGCTGCTCTGCGCGCTCCTCTCAGCTCGTCCGCCGCGCGGACCTGGGGCAGCGCAGCCGCCGGCGCCGCAGCCCCCTGCGCGCCGCTCCGCGTGGCTGTCCCGTCCCGTGTGGTTGTGTCGCTGTCTGCAAAGCGGAGCGCACCCACTGCCCACTCGGAGCCCTCGCCTTGTGGCACGAGGGGCACGGACCGCGCACCTCGGCGCAAGGTCGCAGGGCTGGCCCGGCTACCCCCGCGGGGCCCCGTGCGGTGCGGGACAGCCGCTGCCGCGCTGTGCTGTGCTGTGCGGCAGCCCCCGGCGGGCCGGCGCGGGGTCACCTTTGCGCCTTCCCTGCCGCCGGCCGGGACAGCAAGTCTTGCGAGAGCGCCGGCCTCATCCTCCCGTCCCTCCCCTGCCTGTCACTCACCCGCTGTGTATAAACGCTCCTCCCGCCCCCAGCACATATACCCCTGCTCCGCGCCGCCGCGGAGGCAGAGCTGCGGCCGGCCGTGCCCGCAGCAGTTGGTGGTCTGCGCGTGTCTTTCCGTCCCTCTTTCCTACCTCCCGCCCTTCTTCCGCGGCCCGCCTCCCGTCAGCAACACCGCCTCCGCCCCGCGCTGCGCGGCTTCTGGCAGAGCAGCCTGCCCGGCTGCCTCTCTGCACACCGCCGAGCCAGGCAGCCGCGCTCCCCTCCATGCGCGGTGCTGCGCGCCCTCGGAAGCGCAGGGACTTTCGCACTTGCCCAGAAGCCGCTGCTGTAAGTCGGTGTCCGCGACCTGTTGTGCGTCGGATGAGGTGGGGAGACGGGTGGGCAGTGCGGGTCCGCAGAGCGGCGGGTCCAGGCCGGGGCAGACGTGCGGGACAGAGCTGCCGCATGCTTTGGGAGGGCACCGCGTGGGTCGGCGCTGCTGCAGGGCGGCGAAGTCCCTGCGCCGGGAGCCGGGCTGCCCTGCGCGTCCCAGGCATAGCCGGAGCCCAGCGCTCCTCTGCTCTGCCCGCAGCGCCGAGCACCGTCGCCCTGGAATTCTGCAGGCAGCGGGCGGGTGAACGTCCGCGGTAGCTGTTGTGTCCGGTGTGCGGCTGTGCTCGGAAGCTGCCGGCTTCTATTAGAAAGTGTGCTGGCTTCCCCGGGAGGCTGCAGCTTCCTCCTCGGGGCCCCGGGAGGTCCGGAGCATCATCCCGCGGCGGGCAGAGGTAGGGCAGGGGAAAGTGCGAACGCCTCGCTGCTCCCGGAGCCGGCTGCTGGTCGCCCCGTGCTGGCACAGAAATTTTCGCACGTGGTTATTGCTCTGTAAAGGAGCTCGAATGCATTTTGACTTCTCGTACTATTTATTTATCAGGTTGGGAAGAAACCCAGCAAGTTTCTTTTCAGAGGCGGAGTTGTTCAGGCGTTGTGATGTGGCGAACTGGGGGGAATTTAGACTTGGGTTTCTTTGTCTGCGTGTGATGAGCAGTAGTGCGTTTCTAGCAGGGGCAGCGTGTTCTGCTTTCCGTATCCCTGCAGGTCCTAGGAAGCAACAGAGTTTGTGTTAGAGGACTTTAGGTAGGGTTAGGATTTGGCTTTGCAAAACTGATAGTATCGCTGCACATTTAGCAGTTGAAAGTGATGTTAGTTAAATCGACGGGACGTTTAGCAGATTTCCTCCCCTTCAGCAGTTTTCACTGATTCTAAACAAAAACGCAACCACCACCACCATGTAATTACAGAGTCGTATTAAAATGAGCCTACATCAGGGATGCGTCAGTAATTTAGAAATACTTATATTTTCATTTTATTTAAGCTGAGACCCGCATACTGCGGAGCTGTTAAGAAGTAGGGCAGGGAGTCTGTTATTTAGTCTTAAAGTAGTGTTTACTACTTGACTGCTGTGACAAGTAGCCTGTTGAAGTGTAATTATAAATCAAAGTCTTGGTTCAACCTCCATTCCTAGATAAAATCTATATCGGTAATTTTCTGACCACTTCTTGCCTTTTACATAAAAATATTACTATTTTCTAAGGAAAAAAATGCCTGAAGGGAATTAGACTCATTATTCAAGATGAACATTTGTTCACTGACTGTAAATTGCTCCACTGAAGTTTTTGAGGCTTGCATAATTTCCAATACCAAATAGAGAATTCAGAGATGTCGTTTATACATTTTAATATTCTTGCAAGATTCTGGGCTGAGCTAATTGCCAGAAACTGCATAAGGACATGTTTACAGAAACACTGACTGTTAGTGAATTATGATAATTGCTTCTAAGGGTGTTTGTTTGACTAGTCCATGTGTGAACTCATTTCAGCGACCACAGTGAAGGAAAAAGATGTATAGATATGTATCTTTGTTCAGTTTGGGGAAATATGTTAGCTTATCTTAAATGTGCACTGGCATACTTTGAATTCTTCTCAGTAGATGACATTGTGATGATAAAAGCAACGTTACTGAACAGTTAAGGGCCAGCATATACGAAATCTGCAAGTGCTTTGTGAGAAAAGGTGTTGCTCTGTGAAAGACCAAATCTTTTATTTTAGTGTGGTGACAGGCTGAGCGCCCTATTCAGTAGCTGTTTGAGAGAGACTCTTACAGGGCTTTTTTGTTGTTTTTTTTTTTTTTTTTTTTTTACAGTGGTGTTTGTTACTATGGTTGTGAGTGGGATTGGGTAACACGCAGTGATCTGTTCCTCCCCTCTGCATGTAGTCGGTGGCTCATTAGCCTCCAATGTATGCATAACTGCAGGGTGGGGTTTTTTTATGTTTGCTTCTATTTTGTTGTGGTTTTGGTCTCATTCTGAATGATGCTGAGCCAGTGGCACTTGCAGGAATACAGAGCCCACTGAAAAATCTGAATGCCTGCACTGGCAGCCTCTGATGATGAACTTTACTGCCCTATTTCTGAACCCTGTGTACATGATAAAAGAAAATTTTCAGTGTCCTCTGAATCCCCCCAATATGTGGGGAGAAAGGAGAGGAACTGTGTTTTCATACAGATTCTGTTATGCCTAGACTGTTGTGTCTACTCATTCATTTACTCTGGGTGGAGAGCAGGGGGGCAGTGAGCATCTTCCGATCGTGGTGACTCTGTTGTCTCTGATCAGCGGGTGTTTAGCTTCTGTCCTGCTCTCTGGCAAGGAAACCTTGCAAGGGTAGGCTCTCGAGGTGAGGAAAGCCAGTCTGTAGAGAGCCACTGAATGCCATTTAAAATGGTAAAGTGACTGGAAAAGTTTGCTTTGTAAGTAAAGGGCTTCTCTTCCCATCTGTGTCTGAACTGTTTGTGTACCAGTTTTGAATCCGTGACCCTTCCTGCAATCCTTCAGTTCCAGCAGGTTTCAAAATGTATATGGTCAGTATAATCTTTTTGGCTATAGATTAAATGAGTAATTTTAGTGTGCGATTAGTACTCAGGATCCTTGAATACCATCTGAATCTTTATTTGCCAGACAGTACAATTGCATTAAAGGTAATTTATTTTTCCTTGTAAAAGGATTTGTGTTATGAAGACATGCCAGCCTCCTTAAGTTGTTCTGTGCTTAGTGTTAGTGCATTTAATAGGTTGGTCTGGGGAGCATTGGTAAGATACCATTCCAAACTTTTGCATGGTAGAGTGAGTTAGATATTCTAGCTGTGGCTCTGATGGAAGTTTTTCCTCTCTGTTTTGGAGGATTTTGGTTTCAGTACTGTATATTGAGCTGTGGTGTTTGTTCTTTTGAATCCCAGTTAATGATCTGAGAAGTCGTTTTTCAGGTTAAAGTAAATGGGCTGTGTTAGTTTTACAGTAAGGTGTCTCTTTTTTCCTTAACTGATATTGGTTTGATGGACTTTTTTGCTGTGACTGAAGGGAAAGGTATATAACAAGCTTGCTGTTGGATGTGACATATCAACTGTTCTGTACATTAGAATACCGAGCAAGAAGGATGGTGCTGGCTATGCTGCAATTAATCTGCATGTATTGCATATTCCATATACAGAGATGGCCCATTCTGAAATGGATTCTGCTGCCCAAATTAATCCTGTACGATTTTGATTCTGTTGAGGTTCTGGTCATATGAATCTGGAAAAATACATTAGTTATTAAAAAAAAAAACTGTTTTCTGAGGTTTTTAAAGCTCTTGGGTCATCTGGAGGCATGAAATGTGGGAATACTGTTGTACCGTTTTGCACTTATTAAACATGCTTAGGAATATGAAAATGTTGGAGTCTGTGAGAGAGGGAAGTATATCCACATTAAAACATCCACAAGTGGCCCCAGGTCATGCTCTGACTTTGAGCCTTGGGTGCTTCCCAGGTAGGCTTTGCCCTGTTCCTCATTTGAGAGTGCAGTAAAAGGAGCTCTGGGCATGTGAATATCATAGTCATTAGGGAATTTAGGTTCTCTACTTTTTCTTAAGGTTCCTTTGCAGTTTGGAGAGAGAGAAGTTGAAGTTATTACAGTAGTGGTCACAGCCACAACTTGCACTGGGCTCTGTATGCTTCGTCTCTTATTATCTGCACTGTGACTTTTTGGCCATTAGCTTTATATGGCTGCCAATATTCTTCCCTTTCCCTCTACGTCATACTGTATTGGCTTGACCCTTAATTAAATCTGGAAACTTGCTGCTGTAATCATACATAGACCTGTGTATCATGGCAGGTAACAGTAACATTCTACCTACAAGCAGGGACTGAACAGCATTGTTGTTTGTTAGGAATAGGGTAGGATAGGATGTGTCTTCTGGTTTATTCCTCCTCCAAACCTCGAAATGAACCAACGGCTTGTGCTCTGAGTACCTGGCTCAAGGTAGCTTCAGAGGTGATGCCTTGGCAACTTCAGTTGATAGTCAAAACACATTTTTCTTCTGACTCTGCCCATGTATGTGCTGTATTACTATAGCAGGTGGCTGCTGGCAGAGTTCAAAATGTAATCTCTAAAATTCACCCATCATATTTTTCTTGTGGTTTCACAAGTGTAAATTTATGGTTGTTGCTAGGTTTTTATTTCAAAGTTGCCTTTTTTTCTTTGTATGCTGTTGCATATGGAATCGTTACACCAAAGGGAAGCTTTCTAATGGGATTAGTAGGTTTTTGTTCTCTGTGCAGCTTTTGACATTCCTTAGGTATTCTGTCTGGTAGCTCTTCCTGCTATGATTCAGTACAGGAGAATGTTTCAAGCATGTGCATGTGTATGTATGTAATGAATCAGCTGGTCTAGGCTGGGGAAGGGTGAGAAAATCAGTCCTGGTTCTTTTTCCTTCACCTCCAACTTACTTGCTTACTGTATGAAAGTTGGAGATCAGGTTTCCCAAGATAAACCTGCTGTTGGGCAACAAGTTTAGAGTATGTCATTTATGAAACTCATCTTACAAAAAAGTAAACACATGCCAAATGTAGATGTAATTCTCTGTAAACTCATCTAGAAAGTAAGGGTTTTTTTCCATCTATAGTGCATAATAGTTACATTTTTTTTGCATGTAATGAATTTAACTGGCTCATTAATCTTATTAATTTTTGGTTTACAGGTGTGAAAGAAAATGTCAGTCAGCATGCATGAAAATCGCAAATCTAGGGCCAGTACTGGCTCCATAAACATATACTTGTTCCACAAGTCGTCCTACGCTGATAGTGTCCTCACTCACCTGAACCTTCTGCGTCAGCAGCGTCTCTTTACAGATGTACTTCTCCACGCTGGGAATAGGTCATTCCCCTGCCACAGAGCCGTCCTGGCTGCTTGTAGCCGCTATTTTGAAGCAATGTTCAGTGGAGGACTGAAAGAGAGCCAGGACAGTGAAGTCAACTTTCATAACTCAATTCACCCAGAAGTCTTGGAGCTTCTTCTGGACTATGCATATTCTTCCAGGGTTATCATCAATGAGGAGAATGCAGAATCGCTGCTGGAAGCCGGTGACATGTTGGAGTTTCAGGACATTCGGGATGCTTGTGCAGAATTTCTGGAGAAAAACCTTCATCCCACCAACTGTCTTGGCATGCTGCTGCTGTCGGATGCTCACCAGTGCACCAAGCTGTATGAGCTCTCTTGGAGGATGTGCCTTAGCAACTTCCAGAGTATCAGTAAAAGTGAAGACTTCCTCCAGCTGCCAAAAGACATGGTAGTGCAGCTCCTTTCCAGTGAAGAATTAGAAACTGAAGATGAAAGGCTGGTATATGAATCAGCTATCAACTGGGTCAACTATGACCTGAGTAAGCGCCACTCTTACCTGCCAGAGTTATTGCAGACGGTGAGATTGGCCCTCTTGCCTGCCATATACCTTATGGAGAATGTGGCCATGGAAGAACTCATCACCAAGCAAAGGAAAAGCAAAGAGATTGTAGAAGAATCAATAAGATGCAAGTTAAAAATCCTTCAGAATGATGGAGTGGTTACTAGTTTGTGTGCCAGACCCCGCAAAACTGGCCATTCACTTTTTCTTCTGGGTGGGCAAACCTTTATGTGTGACAAGCTGTACCTGGTGGACCAAAAGGCAAAGGAGATCATTCCAAAGGCTGACATACCAAGTCCACGGAAAGAGTTCAGTGCTTGTGCCATAGGCTGCAAAGTGTATATCACCGGGGGACGAGGGTCAGAAAATGGAGTCTCCAAAGACGTGTGGGTGTATGACACCCTTCACGAGGAGTGGTCAAAGGCTGCTCCCATGCTGGTAGCTAGGTTCGGGCATGGGTCTGCCGAACTCAAGCACTGTCTGTATGTAGTAGGAGGACACACCGCAGCAACTGGTTGCCTTCCAGCTTCCCCTTCAGTATCCTTGAAGCAAGTAGAACAGTACGACCCTGTGACCAACAAATGGACCATGGTTGCCCCACTGCGCGAGGGAGTGAGCAACGCAGCTGTAGTCAGTGCGAAGCTCAAGCTGTTTGCTTTCGGAGGTACCAGCGTTAGCCATGACAAGCTGCCCAAAGTTCAGTGCTACGATCAGTGTGAAAACAGATGGACAGTACCAGCCACCTGCCCCCAGCCCTGGCGCTACACGGCTGCAGCTGTTCTGGGAAACCAGATTTTTATTATGGGTGGAGACACCGAATTCTCCGCGTGCTCCGCTTACAAATTCAACAGTGAGGCGTACCAGTGGACAAAGGTGGGAGATGTGACAGCCAAGCGAATGAGCTGCCACGCAGTGGCGTCTGGAAACAAGTTGTATGTGGTTGGAGGTTACTTTGGCATTCAGAGGTGCAAGACGCTGGACTGCTACGATCCCACGTTAGATGTATGGAACAGCATAACAACTGTGCCCTATTCGTTGATTCCGACGGCATTCGTCAGCACATGGAAACACCTCCCCTCATAATTGTGTGTGTGTCCCTATTACAAATTATCAGGTAAGAAATAGCACCTTTGAATTCCACTGTAATAATGCTTTTCGCAAAGCTTTTCAGCAGCAGCTCTGAGGAGGGTGAGTATATTCAAAGCCAGTTTTGCAGCTGGAACAATTGAAATACACACATTCATGGGCTGTTTTAAGCCAGGCAACATGTCTGACAAAGCCAGATGCTGAAGTAGTTTGTCACATACCTTGCACCCACTTCTTTTTATGTGGCCTTTTCTGAATGATTTGGATGTAAAGGACTGAGCAAAAGTGACATTTTCAGCTTGTGGGGAAATGCAGGTAGTCTTTTGGAAATCGAGTCCTGCTCTGCTTTTAAATACTAAATATATGCTAAACAAGTTTCAATATCATCTTCCTGGTGACAGAGGCTAGGTCACACTATGTATCCAGTAACAGCAGCCAAAAAAAGATAATATAAATTCTGATCTGAAGCTTGATAGCAAATTCACTTGAATTTCCAGGCAGGCAGCATGCTTTCTCCATGCAGAGACAGCCTTTGGGGAAACTTGCTGTTTTATGAAAGGTGTTTTACAGGCACTTCAGGCCTGATTTTCCATCTCACCTAGACAGCATGGTTACACTTGCGTGAACTAAGGCTACATTTGGTTCATTGATACACTTTGAAATACATATATTTTTGAAATAGTTATGGTCATACATGTTGGACTACATACAGTGTCAGGAAGATGTATAATTAATAATGCTGGCTGAAATAATTACCCATCTATGGCACACACTGTTCCACAACAATTTAATTATACATAATGGGCCAAGCTCTTACCAGATGCAGCTTCAGCATTGTTATCTTCTCACAAGCAAGTCTGAATTTGGCCTTGCTTTTTTGGTTGTTGTGAATATCTGATTTTTAGGAGCAGGGGAGAAGAGGTTCATAAAAAAAAAAACCACTGAAAAATCTGGGTACCTACACGTATGCTAGTATTTTTCAGTCTGTTTTTTATAACTGCTCACTGTAACTTCAACTAATTTTTCCTTGTTTGTATCTTTTCTAGAGTTACATCACTTAAAATAAATTACTGACATTTTCCAGAACTATTAATCTGTGTATTTTGCAACAAATCTGGCAGACTCCTGTTAGATTTGTTTAGCTCTTTTCCCCCACACCCTCTTTGAAACTCCAGTACAGAATCACAGTTACCACCAGCCAACCAACCAAACACAGGGGCATGCTTAATCCTAAATATTCCATGCTCTGCGACTGGTAATTTCTTTTTGGATTTGAACAGTCTATAGTGTTACCATGAAAGGTGGGCAGTTTAGAAGAAACAGGGCAAATAAATACAGTGGTAGTAATTAGACAAGCTCTGCATTTGTGCTTAAGTTACCAGGAACTCCATACTGATGCATGTTCTCCAGAAAATAGGAAGAACAGATTGTGTGTAAGGACTTCCCTATCTTATTCCGTTTAGGTCTTTTGCAGCTGGAGACACTTGCCTCACTCTTGCAGTAAAGACAAAACCCAGATGTCTTTGAAGCAGTGAGATAGAAGTATACACCTAGAAATGTAGGGTAGTCATGAAATTCCTTTCTCTATGGTACATGAGGATTCATCTTGCAGTTGCCTTTCAGCAGACTGGAAGCTCTGATTGAGTAAAGAATACAAGGTTGGGCCTGTGCAAAGCAGCAGGTCAGCACAGAAAGGTGGTGTGAAGCTGGGCTGTGTCGTGCTGCTCCTCACTCAGGTGGCTGTTTGTCTTGAGGGCACTGCCCTCTCACCTCTCCTCACTTTGTTTTTTCCAGACTTACCCTTGGGGAGGAAGGGCAAACCCTTGAGCTTTACCAGGGCCTGGGAGTAATCACATCCCCAATAGCCAGCACATGAGAGCCCCCACGTGTGTGTGGTGGCTTCTTCCCTAGCAGGGAACAACATCTTGATGATTTCAGTTAATGTCTGTCATTACTGACTTTCAGCAGTTCCCAGCATTCAGAGCAGCAGTATCGAATGCCCAGGATCACGTCTGTGCCAAGAAAAATATTGACTTACTCTTCTGAGACTGACTTAATTGTTCTGAGGTTTACAGTACATGAGAGGGAGTGTTCTATTTTGAAAAAAAATATAACGGTGCAAAGAAACCTTTCCTTTGCTTAGCAGTGTCTTGTTAAAAGTCATTATTTTAGCTTCACTAGTGCACAAGATAACTGGCTGAACACAGCCCTAAACTGAAGTCTCTCCAATCCTGTGTGCTCATCCAATAAGTTTGGGTTTGGTTTTCTTTTTTCCCTACTGACTCCTGCTGCTCTGTCAGTGGGTGGGAGGGACAAAAAGGAAATTACTTCTGATTACCCTCTGTTTTCATGGCGCTGTGTGGCCCCAGTCTGACAGCTTTTAGGAAGACTTCAGTCTGCTTTGTCTTGTTCCTCAAACTCGGGGCTTTTGAGTAGGTTGGGGATATCTCCCCCCCCCCGACTTTGGGATTGTTTATATTTTTTCTTTTTTAAGTTCATTCCATGACAGGAAACATTGTTTTGGTTGTGTTGATAGTCTGTTTCAGTGGGAAGAACAGCATGCTGTGCTGAAAAATGTCTAGAAAAGACTAATCAACACTAAGTGCAGAGACCTTTTTCTCAGACATAATGGAAATAGTGTGTTTCAAGCCCACAGTTGCAAAGAGGCTTGATGCTCTGCACTATTACGTAGGCTGTGGTGTTTCCTCTGAGTGCTCCCTGTTGCTCTTAGGCATCACAGCTTGAGAGATGTAGTATGTTCAAATGAACTGTGAGTTCGCTAGAGTTCTTCTGTGTTGCAATGATGGAGGATTTGCCTCCTAAAATTCTGGCAGTGCTGTCAGAAATGACGAGCTGATGATGGTTTGGAAGCTGGCATTTTAATACAGCTTCATGGTGAAAAAGCAGAGTGCAGTCTTAGCATCCAAAGGCTGAATTTCTCATTGAATAATCAATTTTTATAAAGGACTCTAGGATGGAATTACTGATGCATGGTACATTGCTATGTGAAAAGAAATGAGGCAGACTTCTGCTCTAATGAATAGTAGATATGTTTTAAGTAAGGGGATTATACGACCCTTTCTATATTGTGAATAAATTCAATTCAGAATTCTTCACAGTGAATGGAAGCATTGGGGTGAGACACCTTCACCTCCCCTTCTGCTTAGCTCCAGCCAGGTTTGCTTTGGCCCAGGGATAGAAAACACTCCTTGCACTAAGTGTTCATGTAGGCTTTTATGGAAGAGAAGCTGCGCAAGGTTATGTTTGCTTAAATACACAAACCTTTAAGATATTGGGGGAACATAGAAATGTTGAAGTATGCAGGATGCAGAGCACATCACAGAACTGTATTGGGCCAGCTTGATTTAGGTTTCAAATGACTGAATTTATAGCAAAAAAAAAAATTAAAGTACTTCTGTGTCAGTAGGGTGGTTTGCAGAATAAGGCTAGTTGAATAATAAAGGCAGAATCTGACTCTAAATAATTGCGCTCTTGGCTGGCTTATTTATCAGAAGTTGGCTATTGCACAGGAAAAATTGGGGGGGGGGGGGGGTGGTTGGCTGGGAGGGTGGTGTTTGGGGAAGGAGGCGGGTAAGCCCATCAACTGGATTGTATCCTAAGCCTAGCTTTTAGATTGTCTTTGACATCTAACACAAACCTTATGGTACATTGTCTCAGCAAACCCTTTAAAGAATTCTGTCTTCTCTCTCCCCCTCCTCTTCCCATGCTTTTAGTTTACTCCTCTATTTGGAGAAGAGAATTGGAACCTCAGATCTGGAGAAATGGTTTTAATGAAGAAAGATCGTTCAGCGTCTCTTGCGTTTGAAGAAAATCATCTGCACCTTGTAAATTATCTAATCTACACATGAAGGAATGGGAGAAAAAAAACTGTCTTCAGTGCTTCAGCACATAGCTTAAATATGAATGGACAAACCTATGATCAGGTCCTTGTGCTAATAATTGTGGATTAATGCCAATATTCATCAGTCCTTCAAAGGAGAAAAAGAAGAGACAAACTTCTCTGAGCTGTGCAGCACACAGCACTTGATTTCCATGGACTCCACTGTTTGTATGTGAAATTTGAAATGGTTGTCACCTCTCTTTGTGGTGATTTGAAGTGCCAGCCCCAGTTGCGGGGAAAACAGGCCAGGTCTGAAACAGCGAGATGCCTCTGTGAATGAAGATACAGTGGTATTGCTGCTGAACTCTGCTAATCAGAGCATGCTTGTCTGTGGGCAGCGCCTACAGCATCTCTTAGATCCTGCATTGCATTGTCCTGTGTGCAGTGAGTGATCTTCTGCTTGATAAGGAGCAGCCCAATGGTGAAATGTTCTTGCAAGAGTGGGGGAAAAAAAACTACATCCCCTAAATGCTCCTTGTTCCTTTTCCTCCCTGTATTTATAAGTAGTTCAAACTGTCCCATTCCTGTTATATTACTTGTTGTAGATATAGTTATTTATTGTTCAGTGCTTGCATGCTGAAACAATGCCTGCAATTGTCTTCATGTTGCAAGGGCTTGTGTGAATTGTTGTATGTTTTGCACATTTTGTGATCGCTGACTTGCTCTGCTGCACAAAGAAAGAAAACTATTGGGTAACAGTTGGAGGTGGGAGGGAGGGGTGGCTTCCCAGTCAGAAATGGAAGGATTACAAGGCAGGATCTTAAATTACACATGTACTAGAGGAAGAAGCCATGGAGGTCACTTTCTCAGGCCACCAGCTCCCCAGGTTGCATGTAGTGTGACTTGTAGATGGTGTCCTTGCTACATTTCATTTGTTGGTCATGCCTTTCATTTTCTAATCTGGAAATAGCCAAAATCTCTTGCAGCTCTCTCTTTGTGCAGCTTCTTGATTGCAACACAAATACTGTGGAAGAGCTTCTGGATACCAAGCCCATATGAAGTCATTGTCCAAAGTTATTTATTTATTTATTGGGTCGGAGAAGGGGTACCTACAATATAGCCAGATTGACCTGAGTGAGTGGAATATGGTGATTCAAGAATAAAAACAAAAAAAAAACCTCAAGCTAGGTTAGTGATGAAGTCTTAAAAAAAAAAGAAAAAGAAAAAAAAAAGAAGAGAGCAGCAATTTTGCACTGACTGGCTTGCCTCGTGCATCTGGATTTCAGATGATCATCTGAGCAACCAGGTGTGAAAGACCCAAGTGCTCAAGCAAAATTCTTATGGGGATAGAAAATGAATGTTAAACCTCTTAATCTTAAAAATAGCCCTCAAATTCTGCTGCCTTTTATTTTCCTTAGTCAGGTGTGTCTTTAAACACTTGGTTGCTCAAAAGCATCAGCTACAATTGTGAGAAACCAAACTTTGATTTTTAAATAAATATCTTACCAGTCTCATCTTGAGACAGAGATGAAGCTACTCTTTTTATTCTGGATTTAAGAAGCTTATGTTTCACAGGTGCTTTCTTTGCCTGATCCTGTCATGAAGCTTGTATTGTGTTGTGTTTTTTCCTAAGTGTTTCTGGAGCCCAACTTAACTGGCACATTCAGTTCCATGGTTGGTGTGTACTGCAGTGTAAGTAAACAGCCGCATGCATGCATGCAAAACAAAAATAGTCACATTGGTGATGCTTTCCTTTGTGTAACAGTGATGTAGCTGTATTTGTGAAAGCTTTGTCATCTGAAAGTGTTTACACTGGTCACTGGAAGTTTCTCTGTGCTGCCTTACATTTGACTTGCTGTTTGGAGTAGACTCTTACATTTCAGAAATAGGTTATTTGGAATTCTGTGAATACTGAAAGAACATTGATTAATTAGCAAAGGCATTAGCAGTTTTTTAAAGGGTGAGGCCCACCTAGATGTGAACAGTTATAGTTCCTCTGGTTAAACTGATTTCTTGAAATGGTAGATTAAAGAAGTGTTTAAACCCACAGCCTTTTCTTCCACCTTCCCCTATGCCTCCCCTGACCCAGTGTTGGTTCTTTACTCTTAGATGGCTTTTAAGCAATAGGAAAACATCTTAGATAGGGTAGGTCTCCTTTCTATATCCCTGCACTTGCACAGATTGCCCCATTGAAGCAAGCAGCCTTGAGCTGGTGTTGCCTTTCATCTTGTGGATCACTCCTGGGTGTGCAAGGGAGCCATAAAATCAGACTTCCTGTGCTTTTCACATCCTCTCCCCAGGTGCTAGTGCCTGCGCAAGGTACAAGGAAGCAAAGAACTGGGTGCCCAGGGGCCCCCTTATTCAAACAAGGGCAGATAGGCTTGAGACATGTTTTTTTCCTAGAGTCCAGATGTGAAGCTGCCCTGCATCGAACCACTTAGCTTATGAAATCTGTTTTGTAGCGATGTGCAACTTCCGAAGCGGGATGGATTTTCTGCAGCTGTTTCCAACGTTGTGGTCTGCTTTCAAGTTCTTGATTAATTCCTGTGTGTAGGCTGAAGGAAGCTGAAGTCGGGGTGGGCCTCTGGCTCTGCAGGGAATGCGCTAGGCTCTTGCTCTTTGAATTGATGTGAGAATCCTGGCTAGCTACTTGACCATTCCAGTCTTGCAAAACAGCCCACACTTTGAAGCAAACGCAGTGCACAGTGGAGTGCACACAAAAACCCTGGTATAAGACGGGAAGGTTCCTCTTATTTTGTGGGGTCGTTGCTGTAGAAACATATAACAAAGGGCAGCCTTCCTCTTCTGGTATAATTGTGCAGCCCCTTTTCTCAAAGTCTGACACCTGTCTGAATAAGAGTGATTAGAGCAGAATAATGTTCCCTTTCCTCACTATTGAAAATGTGGTTCATGTGCTAAAAGAAAACTCTGCAAGTGAAGAAGTAAACTTGTCTAGGTTGTGTCTTTTTGTTTGCTACTACATCTTAAGGTTTTGTAAAACTTGCTTTTTTTTTTTTTTCACAATGTGAAACTGAAGGTCAATAAATTATTAGAGATTTTCTCTCCATGGAGCATTTATTTCAAGTGTTGTCTCTTCCCCCCCTGCCTCCGCAGCCTGAAATGCTTTGAAACCCTTATAATGTCCTTTTCATGTTCTCTTAATAAAAGCACATTGACAACATGCAGTTTACTGCTTTGGTTTAAGCTTCTGCTTCAGTTGCACTTCCCTCCTCTTTGTTCTGTTCTGCTGCTGTTATTATGATTGCTATCTCCAAGTTCAGAGCCTCAACACATTTAAGAACAGGAAATGCAAGTTCGTTGGTGCTTGCAGTATAGTTTAGCTAGTGCCTGATACGGCTTGGAAGCGGAATTAGGCATCTCTAATCATTCCTAATTATTTTCAAAGCAAAAAATGCTGGCTGTGCCTGAAACATGCCAGTTGTTGTAGATAATGCACATGTATAGCCAAACTCTTTGATCTTTTAAGCTTACTTGCATGTTCATTTGTATAGAGGGTGGTGGGGTTTGTGTTGGGGTTTGTTTGTTTTTTAATGCTATTGATTTTCTGCGTTGATTAACACTTCTGTGGCCATAAGGTGTTGCTGATGACTGTCCAGGTCTAAAATAACATCATGCAGAGGCATTCATGCGCACACCCTCGAGGTTCAGTTGCTCAGGTCTGCCAAGTACTGACCTGCTCTCCTGCCTAGAAGAGGATTTTCTTTAAGCATGCATCCACTGCTGTGGAGCAAAGGAACAGGGCCTTTCTTCTTTGCTTGGGCTGTTTCACTACCTACTGCCTTATATCTTTGCCTGTGCAGCTCTGAAGGAGGATGTAAAAGAGTAGGTATCCACAGGTCACAGCTTAGTGCAGCAAGGATGCTGATGCATCAGTTGCCATCAGTAGCCTGTACAGTGTAACTGAGCCCCAGGGTTCATGGTCCTGGAAATTAAATTGTAGTACTGGTTTAGCAGAGAGAGACAGGCAGTATCAGGAAGTACTGCTTTCTGCAAGAATTAACTTTTCTAAAATCTTCTAATCTATTAAAACTCCCAGAGCTATCTCCTGGAAGTCACGGGTTTCTTTGAGTGTTTATTTGCCTAAAAGATTCAGGGTCACAGTACCAAGTGACTTTCAGGCCTCAGCATTGATCACGTAACCTGTGCTTGAGGTATTTGCAGTCAGTCTTGGCTAGGGAGTAGGACAGTTACCTCAGTGCTCCTTGCAAGCACTTTGCTGGACAGTAACTGGGTGGGGGGGTTAGTTTGGTTTGGTTTTTGTTTGGATTTTACCAGGGCCTGGGATGCTTACAGCAGCACTGGGAATGAACAGACTGCTGCAGAGTGAATCACTGGTGTCATTTTAGGACATCAGGTTACTTATTGGAGAGCTTTTTTCTGGCCATGGATTCAAGCTTCTTTGCTTGGCTCTGAATGTGGAAGACTTACACTGGAGGTCTGATGTTTATGGTTAGAATTTAAAATGAACAATTACATTTAGATTTAAAACAGCTGATAGCCTGTGATATAGACACCTGCAAGGCATTGGCTCTGTTATGGTAAGTATGAATACTAAATGCCTTAAATTATTAGAAGGGAATCAGGTCATTAGCTTGGAGTATGGCTCCATCAGGCATAACTGGGTGATCAGCCCTGATCCTTGGGAAGTCTCAAAGGCTCTATCTATACATGGACATGCCTGGGAGTGGTCTCTGGCACTGAGGCCAGCCACCAGGAAGCAGCCAGGAGCTCCACAAGCAGCCCCTTGTCTTGGTGAGGCAGGGTGGCTGCACAGGAGCTGCTTGGAGTGGCTGCTGCAGCAGGCTGGCTCCTGAGCCTTGCCTGGGAGGGCTCCAGAGCAGTGCAAGTGGGACACAAACTTGCCAGGGCTGCTCAAACCATTTAGTACAACTGACAATTGCCTTCCAGTGTCTGGGAACGTTCCTGAGCGTGGATTAATACATTCGTGTCATCCCAGCCAGGAACGTCCTTAGGTCCTGGATAACTGGGTGGAAGTTGTCAGACCTGGCATTGGTGACCTAAATGCTGTTGAAGTGGAGGAAGGAATGCTGTCTCTGAGGGACCTGCATCATGGTAAGTAGGAAAGATGGGTCTTGAAGAGGTGAAGACACTGCTTGTTCAGAAGTCATGGTGCGATACTGTGAAAGTGCAGAAAGAAATGGGCAGTAGTGCTCATGTAGGTGCAGAGTGTTTGGTGTGCCAGAGGGCAGGAGGTGACAGTGCCCCGTGGGCTTTGCAGTGGCATAGAATCATAGAATAGTTAGGGTTGGAAAGGGCCTTAAGATCATCTAGTTCCAACCCCCCTGCTGTGGGCAGGGACACCTCACACTAAACCATGCCACCCAAGGCTCTGTCCAACCTGGCCTTGAACACTGCCAGGGATGGAGCATTCACAACTTCCTTGGGCAACCCATTCCAGTGCCTCACCACCCTAACAGGAAAGAATTTCCTTCTTATATCCAACCTAAACTTTCCCTGTTTAAGTCTGAACCCATTACCCCTTGTCCTGTCACTGCAGTCCCTGATGAAGAGTCCCTCGCCAGCATCCCTATAGGGCCCCCTTCAGATACTGGGAGGCTGCTATGAGGTCTCCACGCAGCCTTCTCTTCTCCAGGCTGAACAGCCCCAACTTTCACAGCCTGTCTTCATACAGGAGGGCATCATGGTGTCTTCTCTGGTTTCAAAAGAAGAAAATGGAGTAGAGCTTTGTCACATGTGGAAGTGTCTACGTGGGAGCTCAAGTGTCCATGCGGGAGTGCAGACATGTGCCCATACCCCTGGCTGGCAAATACCAAATGAGCCAAAGTTAAGCCTCTCTTGATTTAAAGGATCACTAGTCCTCAGCCTGATCGGCACATCCTCACTTTTGGCCCTCACACCTCTGTAAGACCTACATAATTTACTCCCCTCTGCTGTGTGAGAGGCTGTGATTTGAACTGGTAATCTGGTCTATCATCTCTGTAGTGTATGCACATAAACCCTACAGGAACATACATATCACAGGAAAACTGTTCATTCAAATCTTTACATTTATGTGTGGGTGTGGCATGGAGCCAAGTACAACTCCCTCAGTGGTAGCATATGCACATACACAACAGAACCATCTGTCCTCTATGTGTCTTTAATGATGGTCTGTGAATTTAGAAGTGTCACTATTTGTTACAAACCGTACATTTAAATATCAGAATTACCCTTGAAACTAAAAATGGCCGTA